AATGTAAAGTATTGTGTCAATTATTTAACTTTACTAGTTTGTCAATAAGTGACTCACAACGAATAAGTTGTTTTAACTTACAATTTAGAGTGGACCTCCTGGGACATGCAAAAAATGTTAAAATTAACATTTTTTTTTTTACTGTGTACGAAACCTAAGAAGTTTTCTAATTTTACACATCTGCGTTGTTCGAATGAAAAAAACGGAGAGAAAACAAAAACATGTTTACAGTTTCACATCGAACTTTATTGCTCTGACAACGAAAGTTAAATTGAGTTTGCTTGTTCATAATGTACATTACTTGTTATCTCACTTTTTTGATAAAGTACGAATTGTTCTTACTTAGATCGCGTTGTTAAACGATACTGCACCGATTTAAACGCCTTTGGATGTGAGCGTTAGCCAAGAGATAAAATAAATTGTTTAATCAGAAATATAGAGTTGCAACATTTTATAAAAGATATTTTTTTGTTTTAAATTATTTTTAGCATTTATTTAGTTCAAATTTGAGAGGATATTTAAAAATTGAGAATCAAAGTGGATGATACGTGAAAGAAGGAGATGCTGAATAATATGTTATAGCAACCGAAATTCACTAGGCAACGATATTTCACACAAATGTTTCCTGTGACGTCTGTCCTCTTTGTAAAGCCAATGATCGATGGAATTTCCGCACTCCCGCGGCCACACGAATGAATTCTAACTCGCTCGTATACGCAATTGTCCTTGCAGTTTGCATCTCGCACGGATTGTTTTATTTTTAACCACCGCAAGTTTATGAATACAAAGATCTGTTTTGACCGAAGGTTTTTCGTACTCTGTAGTCTAAAGAAAGATACAATTTAAAATAAAATACAACAGTTTACAAACTTTTATATTTATACATTCGAACTGTCTTTTCTCTTATTTTACGCTCGTTTCAACGTTTTATTCCTTGCATTTTTAATGTTATCCAATTTAATCTCTCCAAAGAAATTTATTTTACTCACATATGTACGTTATCTTCGGCTCGAACGATTTATGTTATTTTAACTTTGATTCATCTCTTAATTTTTAAAGCTAGTTTTGTTGTGACTGTTACTTTTATTTGCAACATATATTAGTGAAATTTATTGAAATTGTGTTTTATTCAATTATAAGTCTTGTGTTGTCTCTGAACCTTTTGCTGTAACGTAACTTCTCTGTGTTTCTCGCTTTGTTTTTATTACTGCCTCGTAATTTAATGATGTTCAATAAAAACAGCGTCAAAAGAAAGACCAAGGTCTAGACCAAATATATGTATACACACATTATTCTTTCGAGAATGTTGATCTTCAAAACCTATGATCTATATTGTCTCGTGCTCAAGTTACAAGACCATTATTATTTTCTATACGTAAATATTATACTGTATTAAAAATTAAAAATTGCAAGTTATAATTAAAATACAAATTAAACTTCAATTTTAAGTCAACTTAATTTGACAATTAAGAGTGTAAAATTAAAATTTTTTCAATTTTTATTTCTCACAATATTTGTAAAAGCGCGAGATAGATTATTAATCGAAAATAAATTGCTTCGCTCTCATTTACAAGAATTATTAATGTTCAAGCTACCGAGTTACACACGAGAGAAGATCCAACTAAAGTAAGAGCCGGATGCTGTTAAATTTTGACGAGACGAACGATTATGCCAGTTTATTCTGCCAACCGACAGACAACGCTTTCACTTTTCTCATAACCTTTCAACACATTTTATTTTTCATCTGTGTGTCAGAAGAAGTTGCATATTAGAGAGATTTGCATATTAAATTTTTAGACTGGATAATATTCTTATTTAAAACCGTCCGTTTAAAACACGCAGAGAGGTATTTATAAAAGTAATTGTTTTTATGTTTCATCAAAATACACACTGTGGGCCGTATTCTCATTTTATTATTATTGATAAATATGCTACTATATTTATATATATAAAAGTTTATGGTGTGTAGTTCACGTTATATTGTAAATAACTGTATGACTTGTTGGTAAATAGTCAGCGTATTTAATTTAGCAATATGAGTTTTCTTATATTAAAGCGTCGCGATATTTTTGCTGAGAGATAAGCAGTTGCATGTTCAAAAATTCATAATATTCAACGCAATAACTTTTTTATATGCAACAAACTGAAAAAGATCAATATTTGCGAATATAATTCCAAAAATAAATATTAAATATTTTTAAGGATTTATGTGTATAAAATATATTAATATTTGTATCCTCATATATGTCATATTGGTGCAACATATATTGCAATAAAATTGATAACATTTATATATATGCATAAAATATATGCATAGTGTATAAAACGCAATCAAAAAGTAAAAATATGAATAAAAAATAAATATTGAGAAATATTGTACTTTTAATTCGAGAGATAAAATAAATCTTTAAAAATATTAATAAAATTTATTTCATAAAATATCTTTTGATGCGATTGCTTTCAATTAATCAATATTGTTTATCGACAAGAAGTACGTATAAATTCAAAATCACCTATAGTCACCTATACTCCAACGTCATCCAAACTGATCCAAGGAGCTTGCTCTTTTTTGCAACGAACAAATTGTTATCAACGTACTGATTGCATTTGTACAATCACTGAAAACTGACACTCCCGTTTTTATCGAAACTAAATTTACGTATTATATAGCCGCAGTCAGCGATATCGAGAGAGAACCGCGATACTACCGGTGTGTGACTGTTTACGTGGACAACTACCGTATAGATAACTCTGTACAACTCTCGAGCATCTACAGTTAATCCAGAAAGGCACCACTTGAATGAAACATCGACACTTTGTGATGAAGAATCTCGGTGTTCACCTGCACGAGAGAGCTTCTCAGGAATTTTGGCGCATTTCTTTCACGTGAAAGAAGTCAGCTGAGATCGCGTTGTTAGCAAACCGCCGGTCCTGAAAGTTACCACGAAGACTCTGTTCGGATATCAAACTCAACGTTGGGACTCACATGGTCTTCGCGGCGCGAAGAAGGGGAAACGGAAACGATTCTACGCCTATTCTCAACGCATTTATATGTACATACACACACACATACAACAATCTGCTTCTCTCTTCGTTGCCCGCTCTATATCTCTCTATCTCCGTGTCGTTCTCTTTTATGATCTCTGGACACAATAAATGAACTGTTCTACGTACACATGTTCGGTCAGGTAGTTGCAGTCATGCGGCAACAGAACAGAGATGTCACAGAACCACGCGAGCAGAATACGTGGCAGAAGAATATACGGAATTTCATAGTTTTTACATCAGATCTGAAGCGTTGGATTTTTTTCTAAAACTACAAATAGTTTCTGTGTGTAAAAACGACAAATTAGTTTTTATTCTTTTTATTATCAGTATTTGCGATGATTTAATTGGAGATAAAGTAATGCTCCGATTGAAGTTAGATTCAATTAAAGAGTGACTTAAAAGTTTCTTAATGAGAAATTTTAAATCATTCTTTAATTGAATTTATGCTTTGCTTTGTCTAAGAGTTTTATTTGTGGATTTTAAACTGAATATTTTATTGATTGGATCGTGCGACTCCCATAGTCTCTCTTGTGGCCAATTTGTCGTTTTAATACCAGGATATAATATTTGATTCTTAAAATTTTTTTTGTTTATTAATTAGCGACGTAATTATGGTGTACGTTTTTAGAAGTACGTAAAAATATAAATAAATATGTAGTTGATGTATATATAATGATTAATAGAAAGAAGACTTAAGCAAAATATCATATTAAATATGCATATAATAAGAAAAAACTATTAAATATCTATTACGGATGCTATTTGATTGTTTTATGTAAAGATGACATCAACCTAAAAGCTTGCTACACATAAGTGTCCCGAAGATTTTCATTAAACAAACTATTATATGAAATGTTCCCAATGTTAACACACACAGTCTGTATATAATATTAGCTCAACATGAGAGACCTTTAAAACCACGATTGTATCGACTTTTAGCTGTTTAAAGAGAAGTGATCAAAAGATAAATAATTTACAACGTATAAACGTACTTTCTAGTAATAACATATTAAAAGTAAAACCACTCTCACGCAAAAATCATTGCGACCATTCAAAGCGCAAAAGTGCACAGAAATGCAAATTCCAAAGAAGAATTCCATGATGGAAACAGCAATATTTTCACATAATCTTGTGTTTTATGTAGATATTATTTTTATTTTTTTTCAAAAAAACGCAATTTTTTATCGAGAGTGTTTGAACACTTTTTTTATTCTTTCTCTCTCTTTTTCTCTTCTTCGAAATATTCAAGCATAAAAAGATAAGAAGGAAATATCGCTGTGGACTTTTAAATGGTTAGTGGTACAAATATAGATGACTGGGCATTACGCGGAAAAAACGACCAAGCCACGCTCTAGTTATCTTTCAATATATGTATATACGAAGAGCGATTGATAACTATCCAAAACGAAAAAAATAACAATTTTTCAAATTAAAATGTAATTATTTTTCAATGTCGCTTTCTATCTCGAAACACGTTGACCAGCACTTTTCGAGAGCACTTATACTATTTTGATGAAACAATTTCTCGAGTTTTTCAAAATAGCCATTTACGGTATCGACGATTTAATTGTTACTCGAAAATTTGCTTCCACACTACAAAGCTATTTTTCAGAAAATCAATGAAAATCGCACTCGAAGCTACATATGGCAGCAATTTGAAACTTCATTCGTAAAGTTTGATCATTGCAACAGTTGAAGCTAATGCGTTGTCAAAAAAATTACCGTAAGCATCTATTTTAATGAGTTGTCACACGATTGCGATTATAAGCCAGCGTTTACTATCTGTTGTTTTGAAGAAAAAAACTTGTCAACAATAAAAAAATTAATATGGTACTACTGACGCTATCTATACGTTGTTTCGAATACTTGTCAATCGTTCTTTGTACACGTGCGCGCATACCAGCTCGAATATATATATTATTTTCCCAGTTGATCTCTCTCTTAGTTTTTCACAGAGCGTGCGCGCGCGCGCGCACGAGAGAGAGCAGTCTTGTGTTCTAAAAACCTAGTCTTTCATATTAGACACGTTAATCAATCTCGTGTAATTACGCCGCATGCTAATCCCACAATTTTCACGTGAAATCTCACGCGCGTGAAACAATCAAGAAAGACTAATTATATACGTTTGTGTATTTGCTTTGAAAAAATACATTACTTTTACTTTTTATTTACATTAAGATAATAGTAAATGGGATAAATGTTAAGAATATACTTACGAATTTTTTATGAATTACGTGCAATGTTTTGTTTCTGTGAATTTTGAATTTAACAAACTTGGTAATCATCTCAAATAGATTTCTCTTCCCTTGTCCGTCACGTAGAAGTTTCTATGTTTGTCAAACAAATGAAGAAACACGCTTTATTTGAAATTTATCGCAAAACCGCAAATTGTGACGTACCAAACTGCAAATTTGTAAAAGTGCGAGATATCGTTGGAACAAATGTGCTCATTTGTCTATAATAAAGACAAACTCGAAAAAAAGAATTTTGCAAAAACACAAGCATAAACTACATTTATTATTCAAAAAAATTTTTTTTAATGTAAGAAAATTAAATTCTAAATGTATAAAATTAATTTAACTTATATCTGTTGATACACTGTTGACATTACGGAATTGCACCGACGTTTTTTCTTATTTAATTACACAGTTTTTATTCACTATGCACAATAAATAAATCGCAAATCTCTGTATTTCCCGAATAACGTTCATTTGATGATTGTGAGTAACAATTCGCTGAGTAAAATTAAGCATCGATTTGTAATTGCGAACAAATTGTCGCGATGTTCCACACACTCGCGATTCGTAAGCGAATAAGCTGATTAATGCTGATTGCAAAAACTTGCAACAATCAGCTAAAATATGTTGCTGCACGATCACAAAACCAACGCAAAATTAATAGAAATCACAAAAGTAAATCCAATATGTCGATACTATCGTGTGTTTGGCGTGAGGTTGGAGCTCGGACTATTGTCACTTTCATCGATCCGAGCAGCGGCTAGGGTACTTACGAGAGAAAGTAAAACGGAACGGATTGTGCAATTATCGTCGCTGTACAATAGCTCCAACAATTACAGCGTAACAAAACGCTGGTACATTGACAGTGCGCGTGTTAGATCTGTGGTACTAATCAAATTATCAACTTTAAGGGATACTGATAATAACATGAGAAAAAGAGACAAGGAAAAAAAACAAAATAAAATGCAGATTCTTATATTAAAAAAGGCATTTGGACCGAAAAGTGCGCGTTTGGAGTTGAATATATCGCACTTATTGTTGTCTCTTTTCCGCGTTGCCGATTGGTTGGTTGGTTGATCGAGTCGAATCGAATCGGTAAGATCGAGAGGGTAAATAATGAAAAGCGATTTTGAGACAGTTCGTCGTATATGTAGAGAAAATTAAAAACGTAACTAAAGTTACGTGACAGAAAAGAGTAGAAAAACAACACGTGAAAATAACGTGACTGTAATTTATATTATATATACCATTAAATAATACATATTATACATATAATTTATTATATATTTATAATATTATACTTTATATTGTATTATATGTATTATATACATACTACAGTAATGTCACTGACCTC